CTCTTCTGGAAGGCAAATCCGTCGCCTTTTCCACTTGTAATTGTGAACTGCAATTGATAAGTAAGAATGCAAAGCAACACTTACTTAAATCAGGATTCAGGCATGCCTTGGTTTCCGAAACAATGCTAGAAGAATTAGCACAGGCAGCAAAGACCAACAACAACAAGAAGAGGGGGAGAGAGAAGAAAATGGCATGAAAAGAACAAAGAAGGGAAAGGAGGTGACTATTTGGTTCTGGGCGCTGTGCTATGTGCAAAACGGCCACTGCTATCCCCATTTTTACAGACACAGAAACTGAGGCTGAGCGAGCTGAAATATCTACCCAAGGCCACAAAGCTGGCAAACGGCAGAGCCAAGGTTCCAGTGCACTGGATGTCTTCTGAAACCCCTGCTCGCACTACCTGGTGTTGTGCAGACAGGATTTAAAAAGATGAGGGGAGCCCTGGCTGGTGTGGCTCAGTTGGTCGAGAGTCGCCCATGCACAGAGAGGTCGCCGGTTCCATTCCCGGTCGGGCACAAGCCCGGGCTGTGGGCTCGATCCCCAGCAGGGGTCGTGCAGGAGGCAGCCGATCAGTGATTCTCTCTCATTATGCTTCTATCTCTCTCTAAAAAATCAATAAAAACATGTATTCTTTAAAAAGATGAGGGATGCACCACCATGACTGCTTCTGGAGGCTAGCTGCGCTTATCTGCCTGTGAGAAAACCTTTATTATTACATCGGTATTTTAGATCCGCTTCCAAAAAGCCCAGGCAACTACAGATTAGATCAGTGGATCCTCTGCCTTAGGACTGATGTAAATAATGAGGTGGTAGTGGTTTTGTGGGATGTAACTGTGGCCTCTAGAAGATGCTGAAGGTTACTGCCTACCTGCTACAATTCCTTATAATACAGGGCTTCAGGTTTTTGAAGCAAAGGGATTTTAGCTTTGGTCATTTCTTTGTTATATTTTTAAAAAAACATGAGCAATCAAACCCCAATTAACTGCAATTATGTTGACAAAAAATGGTGTCCACTGTGAAATCCTGCTGTTATTCCACATCACATGTGTTCCATTGGCTGCCACGGAGGCCGTTTTAACAGCCAGGAAGGAGGGCTCTGTCCAGCACAGCTTTCTTGATGATGGGAAGGTCCTAGATCTGTGTTGTCCAAGACGGTAGCCACTAGTCTGGATACTGAGACCCGAAACGTGTCCAATGTGACTGAGCTGAATTTTTCATTTTATTGGCCACTACAGAACAACACAGGTCTGATGAATGCTGTGTGACCATCTCTTCTTGCAAAAGACACCTGCTGTAGTCCTAGACAAGTCACAACTTATATCAATAAATAAAGACAAATGATGATTTAGCTGTTAGTGACCTTTTCATTGCTAAGAGAGGCAAAGAGGGGGAAATAAATTTATAAAACTCAAGTCTGGCTCTTTTTGTATTAATAGAAAAACCGGCTGTGCCCCTGCAAAAGCGTGGATATTTACCTTCTGTGCTCCAGGGAGCAGCAGTTACTCAGTCAATATTTGTTGATCAAGGAAGACATCCTACCTGGGGAAGGCTCATGCCCAATCGAAGGTCTTAACCTGTCCACATTACCGCCACATCTCTGAAGTTGAGGACCATGACTGTACTTTCTAACTCTGCCTCCAGCATTTAACACTTAGTAAGTACTCATTCAATCCTTGCTAAATAAGTAACTAATCTTGAATTTCTCCATTCATTGCTCCAACATCTTAGAAAAGCCACTTGGGTTGAGTCTGGTGATTTGGGCAAATCGGAGACTCTGGGGTCTGTGTCCGTGCCCAGGCTTATGCTATACCGCTGATGACATGTTCAAAGTGATTTTTGGTTCAAACTCCCCAGCTAACTACAATAACACAACCACCAGGGCTCAGGAGAGGGGAAAGGGTGGATCACTGAAGGCCAGGTGTAGCGAAGTAAGATGCTTCCGAAAACGATGCTCAAAGCTATAACTTTACCCCTGGACATTATGATTCAACACATACAAAAGAACAAGGTTCCCAGTAGCAGTTTCTCTTTCTTTTAACATAAGACAAGGATTCTTATTTCTAAAGAGTTCCCTCCACAGAAAGTAACGAGTGTCCTTAAGGGAAAGCAATGAGAAAACCTCTAAGAAAAGTGAGTCAGAAATTGGAAAATTAATAAAGAACCAAAGGAGAAAGGAAATATAGGTTACAAAAAAATTATACAGTCACAATGTACGGGGGGGCAGGCGAGGACAGTGTTTATTTAACCTTTAAGGGGCTGAGCTAATGCTGGAGGCTGCGTGGTCCCCTCTGTGCCAAGCCTTCCTAGCTCTGTATGGCTGCAACGCCTCCAGGGCGCCACGGGGACCGTTCAAACTGACCATCTGTCTAGGAAATCACCTTCAGGGAAATAAAAACGCATTTGGCAGGTGCCCAAAACTATCACAGGTTCTCTGCCATGATCATGAGTCTGTGGCATGGCCAAGTATCACTTACGAAGTCCTCTGGTACGATCGAGCACATTTCTCTGCGACACCAAATTAAAAGGTAAGTCGAGTTTGGATTAGAAATTTTGTATGCTATTTTTGGATGCAGAACTCCTGAGTAATTGTCATAAACCATTACCCCCTCCATTTAATATGGCAATAAGAGGATCCCAGATGAATAGTTTGCTTCAACCAGCACACATGGAACGTGACTGGGTCCTGAGAGACATTTTCCAGATCTCTCTGCCAGAGAAAGAGCAGACCATGAGCATGGAGCCTCTCGGACAACTCGGCTGTGTTCAGGATGGAGAGCAGGGGAGAGCTATCATCGCTCGTGACCATCCAGATGACCCCTGCACTCTGGCCATCCTGTGCTCTACTTTCCTTCAGCATGGCTTTATTTTTGCAGGCTTTCCCCCTACCCTTTCCCCCACCTTCCCTGTCCTGCCTCCTGCAGTCCTTTATCCTGTCCTGGTGTTCCTTCGAGGGTCACTCAAGTTCTCTCTTCTCACACTGTCCCAGACAGGGATTGTTCCCCCCTCTGAATGCCTACCACAAAAGAAACTTCTTATTATATTTATTTTACTTAGTAACTTTCCAGGTGACTCTCGTGATCAGCTAGATTTGGGACTTGTGGGTACAGGCCTGGTCTCGTGGTGGGGACAGGCCACTTTCTGCCATTTGGAATTCCTCAGTGTTCTCATCAGTCATGTTCATGATGGCTGAGCGATGGGTGTGAGAGTGGGAATCTACAAATGAAAAAAGCCGGACACTTTCAAACAAGGTCTAGTTAAACTACTTCGTATTTGGTGATACATGGATTTATTACAGCCTAGAGATTCGAGAAGGGATGAAAGCGAACCTCCTGTGTTACAAAGGGTGGGGAAAGAGAGTGGGGCAGTGGCAAAGACCTGGATACAATGGCATTTTCTACTTGACTTGCTGAAACATTCTCTATGATTTATAAATGAATAAAAACTTTAAAAAAACCACACAAAATACCAACCAGCTGGGCCCATTTGTGGTCTAGGTACAAAGAGCAACGGCAGTTGAAAGCACTTAAATGTTACTCTAAGGCATCAACCTTGCATGTACCCTTAAAACCATGTGAACACCATACACCTTTACCAAGTCATGAGTACCTCTTAAACATTAATTGAATAATGCTTCATTAAGTATTTGAGATTACCAATAAAAAGCAACATGTGATAAATCACAAAAGGGAACTAAAAGGAAACTTCAAGTTCCTGGTAGAGATAAGCTTCTAGACTCTTTGTTCTAGTAACTCTCCTAGAAGCATTGGGTAGAGTAACTAATAAAAGGCATGGAGCACCATGTGACCTCGTTTTCAGAACTTCTCAGAGAAGACATCCTGTGTGGACCATCCCAGAGTGCCTGGCTGTCCCCTGCCCAGCAGCTGTATCCATGCCCATACTCGCTGTGGACATCTTACTGGTTTGAGAAGAGACACAGCACCGGGCCCAGTGCTTTGCCCATAGCAGTTTTATAAATAAGTACATGCTGAGCTGGGTCTCAGTGCTTCAGTGTTCATCCTAAGATAACCTCCATCATTGCTGTTATCTCTAATGTCATTGTCGTGTACTACCCAGCATCCTCGTACTTTCAAGAGAGCTCAAAGGACAGCACTCTATCATGGTCACTGCCCCCCAGGAAGCTCAATGCCGCGCAGCTCTTCCAGCTTAGGGCTTTTGTCCTGTCTTCCCCGTTTTAGTGACTGGAGTGACCATCTACCCACCCAGGTGCTCAAGCCAGGAAACTGAAAATCCGTTGTGACTCCCTCCTCCCCATATCCAGCTGTTCACCAGAGCTGGTAGATTCTTCCTTGTAAATCTCTCCAGCACGAAATTATTTCTAAATCCTGGTTCAGGTCACCATCACGCCTTCTCATGGTCTTCCTCTCTCCAGTGGTCCTGACCCAGCCCAATCTACTCTCCACAGTGCAGATTCTGGGCCTCTCTAAAATGCGAATCTAGCAGTATTTCTTTTTGCTTAAAAATCTGTAATGTCACAGACATTAGGATGGCTGTTACTTAAAAAAATACACAAAAGAACAAGTGTTAGCAAAGATGTGCGCCGCTGGTGGGAATGTAAAATGGTACAGCAGCTGTGGAAACAGCTTGGTGATTCCCCAAAAAGTGAAACACAGAATGACCACATGATCCAGTACTTGTACTTCTGGGTACATCCCCAAAAGAAGTGGAAGCAGGAACTCAAACAGATATTTGTTTACCAGACTTCGCAGCTGAATTAGTCACAACAGCCAAAGGGGAGGCAACCCAACTGCGCACTGACGGATGAATGCATGACGCAATGTGGCCTATACATGCATATAATGGGTACTGTTCAGATACAGTATTATTTCACCTGCTTTTAGTAGGCTTTACAGTCAACAAAACATGAATTTTCATTCACCGACACATTTTTCTGTCGTTTTGGGGACCCCACCAGCACAAGCAACGATATTCAGGTGGAATTACGAATGCTAACGGCTAGCAAAACCTTGGGACCACTCACCTGATGCTGGCTGCGTGCCGCTGCGCGGGCTGGTGCTGGAAATGCTCGGGCCACGGGTGGTGCAGGCAGAAGGACGGGCAGTGCTGGAGACAGCACGCAGTCTGGTAAACGGGCGCATGGTGCGGGCACAGAGATGCGGAGTATTCTGCGTGGGGCTGCATGCAACACGAGGCCAAAGCGGAAGGGGACACGGAGCCAGCCTCGGGGTGGCACTCTTGGTGACTGCTATGGCTAGTCAACGGGTGGTGGTATGGGCAGGGATGGCAGCACTGGGGCAAGAGCTGAGTCGTTCTTTGGTTGTCTAAAGGCAGGAAGGATGACTTAACTGTGCCATTCACTTGCAGGCAACCGTTTGGACTCACTTTTGCTCTTGGTGCTTCTCTGGGTGGGAGCTGCTGGGCTGCAAGGTCTCCGTCGCAGGGGGGCAGGGGACTGGGGTTGGCTGCACTGGCTGCGAGGCTGCCATTGCTCAGAGCCACAAAATCGCTGTTTCCATTGCTCATGGCCATGCTCCAATTTCTTGACCCTAAGGAAGACAGGGATACAAAATCATCCAGTTAGAGTCAGGCAGGCAGATCAGTAGAAAAGACAGGAAAGATACTTAAAAACAGCTCTTTGATAACTCAAGGCTGGCTGGTGCAACAGAGCCAGCCAACACCTCAGCCCCCCTCGTCTCTCCTCCCAGCTACTTCGTGCACCCTGGGAACCCTCTCCTAGCCTTCCTGACTACTCCCCACCCCTACCTTCAATGTCTTTCTTCTCTCGCCGTCCTAGATGTGCAAGTAACAGTCAAGAATTACGGTGGGGTGGGGAAGGGGAAGAAAAGAAAGAAAAAATACCAATATCACCCTTCAACTTTTCAAGAGTATCACTGGGGGGTCCTGACATAGGAGTCAGGGGCAAAACGAAGGGCCACTCTGAGGGCAATAAGCTGTGTAGGTTAAACTCATGTGAATAATCTTAAGAATGTTTGATGTGTTAGAAAACTGTCAAGAAAACATGATTTTTCCTCAAAGTCACTCAGATCTTCAAGTAAGAATTAAATTAAATAAAAACTAATCAGCTAAGCAAAGAACTGTGGCAATCAAGATATTAGACACAAAAGTTTTATCCCCTAAGTCAATAAATAAGACGCCAAAAAAAAAATAATGAACAGACAAGCCACGAGAGTTGCCATGAACTTATTAATTGGTTTTATGTTATGTGCTATAGTAGCAGTCATCGTTTGCAGGTGAGAAAATTAATAGTAGGGATGGGATTAGCTTCACATGAGATTTTTGTTCTTAATTTTTTTCCTCCCACTAAAGGGTCCAGGCCTTCAATGTAAAAAAATAAAACAATGCTCAGATTACCAGTAGCATGTTTCTGCCCAGGCAACAAATGAAAGCAAAAACAGACAACTGCCTCCCTCTCCCCTCACCCACTCACCACCCTCTGACCAACATGAAGTCTGGAAATTTGCTGTTAAGAAAATGGGTCATCAAATGCTATGATTGGTCTATTTAACCTTACATGAAGGCCAACAAGAGAAAAAGAAATCCATGGTTTGGCTCACTAACTCTCTGGCATGGCATACTTCTAAGGAGACAAAACAGCTTCTAGAACAATCGCTCTCCAGCCATCCCTACTTTCTGCATACACACAGGTACCCAAAGAAATCATCTCTCTCCAGTCTGAGGACATGCATGTTTTCACCCAATATAAAAACTACTCGGGCATTTCTGAGCAAAACATGCCAAAACAATGCCTAAAGTTTCCAGCCTCATACACAGAAGACACTCATTATGCTAGGATACAAATTTAGCATTATCAATTTATTTATCTTTTAGATAAACTCCTCAAACACACACACACAAATTCCATTATATAAATATCAAAGCTAAGAAGAAATGGAATTGTATAAATTGTTTTAGTGAAAAAACAAAGCATTTATAAATATCAAAACATGTATCAAATCAAAAAGCTATTACTTCTCTCATCAGCCTTACAACTTTTGAAAGCGGTCTGCCAATCCCAACTGCCTTTTATAACGGCTATTGAGAGGCATTTTGAATTGTAGTAAATGGAGCTGCTCTCTCCTTCACTGAATCACTCCTGGGTATAACTATACACTATAAAACACAGTTTTACATGTTTTGTAATACATTCAGATAACATACCCAACACAAAGCAGTGGTAGCTAATGTACCATATTATCTGACTAGTAGGGAGGCAGGGTAGGGAGCTGCTAAGGGCCCTAACCTGACCCAGGAGGGACAACTGTAGTCTTCCTTCAATCACTTATCCTAACGAGCAATCTCGGCAAGATCTGCTCACTTAAGCTTCTGTTTACACAGAAAAAGTCCCCCCTTTTGTTGTTAACAAAAAAGCAGTATGAAAATGCTCTGAAAACAACAGAACATAAGGCCATTGAAAAAGGCACTTGACTTTTTAAAAAGTTAATTGAAATGTAAGATGCTTATTTGGATGCTTAAGTGAAAGGCAGTCTAGATAACCTAAGAAGCCAAAGCTGGATGAGGTCAATGCAGTCATTTCCCAGAAGTGGAAACTCTCACTGTACAAATACTGAAGGCTCGAGTTTTCTCTCGCCTCCACCCATGACTCACGCTCCAGACCTGGGTCAAGCTACCCCGGTGGATGGCCTCTGCTGGGATGACTGGGAACATCAAAGACTCCCTCTCACCTTTCCATCAACATGGTGGGAGGAAGGCTTTTCTAGTTTGATGGTTTGGTTCTACCATCCCAGGTTGGTTAACATCTCAGAGAGTCTATTTTTTTTTTTTTAAGTATTTAAGTCAGTCAATCCTATTGACTCTAATCACAGCTGCCGGGTGAGTTATGCTAGTGGGAAGTATCTAACAACAAAATCTTTAAAGTTTTCAATCTCAACAGAGTGCCATCCATCTATCTCCAACACCCATCAAAGCGCCCTGCCATCCCCTCTGGGCTCTTGTCGGTTTCACGTCGCCCTATCTTCTAACTGAATCTACTTTTCCTCCGGAAAAAATAATGTTTCTTTTTCTTTGTAACCAGAATTACAACTATCACTCACCTCCTCTTATTTTTATTATGAATATATCATTTTTGTAGTTACGTAAGAGTTAAATAGATTCGTGCAGGCCAGCCAAGGGACTTAATCACCATTTATAATATTTTTTCTCCAATGTGGTAAAATGCAGTCCGAATGCCAAATCACTGACTTACAAATGAATTTTTGGAACAGAACCTGTTTCGTAACTTGGAGACTTCTTGCAACGGAGTAGAAACTAATGGATAGTAAAGAATAATTTGAACTCTGACTTTGGCTTGAAGTAAATCACATGAGATTTCTATGATTGTGTCTTTAATCATAAAATGAAAAAATCTAATTGACTTTAAAAGTTATGAAAGATAAGTAAAAAATAATAAAAAGCAAAACCAGGAAAAAGAATGTCCTAAGGAATGTCTATGGATCAAGTTCAGTGGATGAACTTGTGCGGGACTTTGGGGGACCAGGAGAACAGCAAAGTTTCCATCTGAACTCAAGAGTCGACCCAAGGCCATATAGAGAAAGCTCTTCTCTCTTTAGAACTGAGACAAATGAGAAAAAGATTTTATCTGAGCCCAAGATAGAACAGGAAAGGAGATGAGAGTCAGTATCATAAAAAAAGGAACTATTGTAGCAAATATAATGCTCTGTGATTATAAATGCAGTGATCATAGTGTTTATGGTGGAAGTTGAAACTCAGTTTTGGATCAAATATAATGAAAACTTTAAAAGACAGCTAGCTATGTTGAAATCATCCGTTTTCCCCAGGGCCATAATATGCAGGGGCTGCCAGAAAAGCTATTTTTGAGGTGTGATGGGGCCCATGGCCAGGTACTTTAGTGTACTTCCTGTTGTTCATGCTTCTAATATGCCAACAGCAATATAGGCAATGCCACTAATCTCAAACTCCCTATTTCCACTTTTCCACCAGCATTTTTATGCCCTGAGTGCTTCAGGAGTGTGGGGGCAACAAGGCCTTTGTCCACGGACCTTCTTTTGATTATATTTTTAAAGTTAAGTGTTTTTTTCTTTGAGCCTCGGTTCTTCATATGTATAAATCAGGATATTAATCAGTGTCCATCTCATAGGATTACCACGAGAATGTAAAAATGTCTTGAAAACTATAAAGGGCTATGTATTTATAGTGGAAGAATTAGCATTATTGCTTCACTGAGTGAGAATATTAAAAATATTTTAAAAATACAGAATGCTGCTTCCTAGTTTGAAAGCCAAAATTATGCTTTAGAATGGCAGCCGAGACATCTGTATCCTGGAGGAAATAGCCTGGGTAGGTCTGAGTTTGAAAGGTGAGACTCTGGGTCAAGTTACTTACACTCTTAGAGTCTCTAAGTCTCGGTTGTTCTCAGAGTTAAATTTGTTTGAAATGCAAATTGGTGCAGCCCTCTGAGACAGCCACATGACACCACCAATCCAAATTTAAAATACCCTCATCTTTGACCAACAATTCTACCAGGCATTTATCCTTTGGCCATATTTGAACGATGTGTAAAGATAAATGTGGGGATGAAGTTGTTGACTGCACCGCTGTCTGTACCAGTGAAAACTGGAAACAATCTAAATTCTCAACAGGCCAATTGAATTCTGTCATATCCATGCATTGGGGATGCCGTATAAGAACAAAAATGAGCTGGATCAGGATTATTGCTATGAAAAAAAGTCCAAAATAGATCTTCATGTGTAAATAAAACCTCGCTGCAGAACAGCCTAGATGGTATGAACCCATTTAGTTAAAAATGCGACGGACACACATACACATGGTTAGAAGACACACAGATCATTTTAGAAGGGCAAGAAAATCCTAACACTGTTTCCAGCGGGAGAGCTGGACTGGGCCATGTGGAAGGGTGGAGAAGGCGTTCACATTTTACTTTCCTGTACTGCTTGCAACTTTTACTACAAATGTATAGGACTTTAGTAAAACAACAGATAGAGTTTCTAGCACAGTGACTACTAATGAACAAAGGTAATTATTATTAATATGCAAAAACAGAAACAAACTTATTTTACCTCTGAGGATAACTAGGAACCTACAAGGTTCTGTGTTGTAGCCAATCATCTTTTCAAAAGAATGATGCCCCGATAGCACAATTTCTCTAGATAAAATACACAACACTAACCCAGTGCTTCTCCGACATTAAGGGCCACTTGGGGATGTTGTTAAGATGCAGATTCTGATATAGCCCATCTGGACTGGGGCAGCCAGCTGCCAACAGCATGGCCCACCCTGATGGTCCCCGGACACACTCTGTGTAGCAACATCCAACCACAAACGAGGTGGGACGCCTACAAGAAAATTAGGCCTAAGGAATGGGAAAATGATGGGTATTAAAGCAGAATGGATAAAACAAGTAGGGAAAGGACAACACTTGACAGAGAAATAAAGGCCCATTTTTTTTATTAAGACAGAGAAAAGTAAAGCATTTTAACAATGGAGGTTCTAATTGATAACCAAGTTTAACTCTGGCTTATTTTAGGACTCAAATTGTTGTGTGCATAGAAACATAACCAATGAAATCTTAAATCTCTTTAGTGCAACACACACATAGATAGAAGCACCTGCCCAGTTAACTACATATTAGAAGATGGGTGTAGAAAGATACCTGAAATCTTTGTTCACACTGGGTATAAAGGCAGACTGGGGAGTACTGTACCCATTGTTTACCAAACCTCTTTTAATATAAAATAGTTCCTCTTAAAATTGCTTGATGCTTAGCCCCAAATGATGGTCTCATTTCTGATCCCTGGTACTAAGCTGACTTATTAATACCTAGTGCTATAGCAGACAATAAACAGCTCCTCTAAATGCACAACAGAAACTGACAAAGAATTGTGCTTTAGGCGTCTCCTGTAGTGAGCTATTCAAGACGGACGGTAAAAGGACATCAACCAGGTTTCGTCTCTAGGAATATTTTCCCCCTGAAAGGACTATTAAAAATGGTGTGTGTGCCTTAATAACTCATTATGTGAAATACTTTCTTTACAACACCTCTATGAAGATACGGTTAAACCATTATAGAGAAAACTGAGGGTCAAAAATATTAAAGTATAACCGATCCAAATCACATGATGGAAATTCAATCTCAGAGCCGTACATCTCGAAAAGAAAGGCTTTTCCACAACCTCGAGGTGCTTCTAGGGCATTGCCAAGTTCAACTGGCTTTTATAGGACCACTGGAGGCTACTGATACAAAGTTCAGTCTGAAGGTCCACGTGAAAAAGAGCCTCTGAATTCAGTATTTCCCAAGGGACAAGCCCACATTTAAGAGACGTATTTCCCTGAATTAAGAAGAGGTGCCATCCACCCGTGTATCGTATGATGCAGACCTGAAAAGCAAGGCCAGGAACTGCCCTGCCCACGTGGTCATTTAGCATTTAAACTATTTCAAAATAATGCCATTGTGAGCTGACAGCAAAATCTGTATCTTGAATCAAAGGAGCGGGCGCTTTTAAGGAACTCAAAAGAATGGTCTTAAAGAAATATAATCTTCTCTCCTTCTGAGACAAATTAAATTTTTTTATTTTTCTTCGAGTTCATGAACTTTCTACCATTACACTCTCCTTCAATAAGAACAGGTCTAAATATCTTCACTTAATCACCTATAAACATTTTATATGTTGCAAGGAACTATACAAAAATAAGGTATTATGGTTATTACTCCCCTTAAGCATAAACTGCAATGTGTTAGAAGCCATTTTCCCAAGAACACAGTGTTATACATTTGAGAATCTATTCAATACCACTAAAGATACATTTCATAAGAACTTTCTAGGTATTAGTGTGCCTTCCATCACATCATAAGAAAGCAAAAAATCCAAAAGTAACGATTACTATTCTTTTACAATGAAAACTTCCTGTTTCCCCATTAAATTTATATTATCAAGAAGGTAGAGTAAATGTATAACAAACACCATCTTTGAAAATGGAAATATGCCTAACACTTTCAGATAGCCTCTTTTAAGATAAGATATATATAGCTAAAGGCATCAATAAAGATAAACTGTAAATATTATACATTTCATTACTACAAAAAATGTTCATAATATTTACAAAGAGCTCAATGATACAGAAAAAAATTTAAATTGCCAGATAAAGCCCTCCTTCCCCAATTTGTAACAACAACAAAAATAAAAGTGAAGTAACCTTAGGAAGAATATTACAGTGTATGTACCATAACAAATCTGAAGACCCTGAATCTAGCTAGATATGAGTTAGGTTGTCAAAGCAGAGATTGTTATACCTGTGGGGGTGAGCAATAGGAATTTCAGGGCTGTGGAAACATGAATCTCATTTCTCTCATTCATTTTATGTCCAACGTGCCTTTGGTAACAGGTCGATGTGGGAAGAGACATGTGGGTATAAAACAAAGTTTATCTTTTATAGTCTGAGATAAATGATAGTGGATAACATCCTCTTTTTAGCATAAACACTAGTTCCTACATATATATCATATATATTTCAAGACAGATCTCTTTTTCAAGGTCATGCATAAAAATGATCATTCTACAGAATCTTCACCACTTCTCCCCATACTTATGAGACAAGTGCTACATCCATAGCATCAATGCCCTTGACGGAGGGAGGGAGAAGCTTCTTATATCTTTGAGTTCCTATTTCAGATTAATTTAAATTCTATTTAAACTATTCTACTCTGTTAATGCTATTAAGTTGCACTAATTTCCACTGACTCCTAAGTCTGGAGACTTATGTTCATTTGTATAATTGAAGATATACAAAATAAAACTAGAGATGCTCTCTATAATCAGAAATATCTATCAGTAGCCTTTCAAACAAATTCTAGAAAGCCCTCTGATAAGTTAACTAACCCAAGAACCAGCCAAGACATCCATTTAGAGCCTGCTGCAGATCTTGAAGGAAAGGCAATAAATATAATAAATATTCACAAAGTTACGAGTCTATTGCAGCGGTCTCAGCCCTTTCTGCACATTACAATCACTCAAGTAATAAATAAATAAAAAATTACAGACACCGGGCCTTGGCCCCAGAGGCTATGACTTAATTCATACTGTAATGTGATGTGGGCATTAGTAATTTTGAAAATGCTCCCAGATGATGTGCAGCCAGGGGTGAGAACCAATGACTTATGTTGCATAAAATTAATGCTGATCAATCTATTCCGAGTGGCAAGCAACTGCCTCTCAAAATATGCAACATTAAAAAAATATTGCTTGAAGGATGTTGCTGTATATTAAAAAAAAACTGGACCTAGTACTTAACGTTAGATACGCTTTGTAGTATTTGAATTCACTTCCCTTTTTTTGTTTTGTTACAATGAAAAGAGGTCTCATCTATAGTATTTCTGAAGTTATGAGGGTGGGGATAAGGGTGCGGCAAAGAGACACCCTTAATAAGACATCAGTTTGAGGGACAACAGAGCAGAATTTACGTGGAACAATGTTGTGAAAATATAAACAAGTTGTCACATAGCCTCAATAGCTTAGATCATTTGAATAAAGTTTAGGATATAGCCAATTTGTCTACTGAGTTTATTTAACTCTCAAGAAAAAATATATCCCCAATCTGCCAATCTCCAAAAAATGAAGCCACAAGGCCCTCTATTAAAAGAGCATGTTTCCTTTCCCAGTGTGTTCTTTATTTCTGCTATGTCACTCTTCATTTCTGCCGGGTTGTTTTCATAGTTTCTATGTCTTTTTCATGCTGTTGAGCATCCTTATAATCATTCCTCCGATCTCTATATCTGATAAATTGCTTATCTCTATTTCATTTAGTCTTTTGTAATACTCTCAACAATAAAGATAGATTTTTTTAAAAAGTATGTCTTTATTGATTTCTGGGAGAGAGAGAAACATCAATGATGAGTCATCGATCAGCTGCCTCCTGCACGCCCCCTGCTGGGGATGGAGCCCATAACCCGGGCCTGTGCCCTGACCGGGAATCCAAACTTGATCTCCTGGATCACAGGTTGATGCTCAACCGCTGAGCCATGCCAGCTGGGCAAAGGTAGATTTTTAAAACATAAAATAAAGAGCATGTTTCCTAAAGCTTTATGGGGAAAAAAGTAGACAGGAAAGAAAAAGATTTTTTATTGCATTTTAAGCATCTTAAATGTTCCAATTCTAGGATCAGACAGCCTCCAGACACCAGGCCTGCTACCCCGCCTCACATCCCTGCCAAATAAGAATTACAAGATGCTTTGGTAATAAACAGGCCCCTCAAGATGTGATCGTTCTATCGTTAGCCCATAATATTTCATCTCCAACTATTTTGGCTCCACTAAAACTGCAAAACAGGCAAGTTTACAATTGAGCAATCTTATTGTATCACCACAGCTTTTGCTCAGCGACAGGATCAGATTACTGAGCTTCACTAATGCTGCTGAGTAGATCACAAGTGTGTCTAAAGTCACCACGAATGTCTAAGACTTCACACATCTCAAAACCTCAAAACTTAGCAGCTCAAAGGAACAAAACCATTACTGAGGTCAATCAAATTAAGAAAATTCTATTCCCACATAGTGTGAGCCAAAAGAATGTGAGAGAATTTTTATGCTGTCTTCCATAAAGTCAGAAATTGAGATCGATCACCACAAAGGCCTTGGAAATTGTTTGACGTAGATGGTAAGCTGTTGTTTTTTAATACTGCCCTTGGAATTACCTCAGCTTTCCCCACAATTGCTAAGCATCTGATACCACCAGGCCCCGCTCCCTGCTGTTCGGGGCAGCAGCAAATCAGATTCCTAGAGCAGCTCCCCAGATGGGTTCTTCCCTGCAGAGCCCACCAGATAACACCCCAAGGGGATCCTTCCATCTACTGGGCAACTTGGGAAATGGCCCTCAAAGTTTTTGTAGGAAGCACAGTTAAGAGATATGCTTTACCTAAAGACTCTGAGATTTAAAGCTTAGGAAAATATCTTTTCTTACTTGAATTGGGTCAGTAAGTTAACTTAGTAAGAGCCTGGGTACACCTTTCAGAAATCTTTTTTCTATTCCTTACTTAAGTCATCACTATAAATGCTTATGATTCTGCTGTTTGCTTTCTTGTATAGAGTAGATGAACTGAAATTCTGTTTACTGTTCATGTGGGCTTCCTGTTTGCTCACAAAGGTAATTAAATCACATTTTTTCAGTTAAATAAGCGAATGTCCTTATCTAGGAAGCATATAAAAAACATCTACAGCGTTCCCTGTGAAGCTTTTCTTGCAATCGAATATGTGAGCCTGTAATAAGTGAGCCTGTCTAACAGAGATTAAAAAAATAAAAGAATAAAAATTGAGACAGAGCAAAGGCACCGCTTTCCCAAGTCTCCCTTTTCTAATTTGCTAGAGTTGCTCTGTTTTATATTCTTCCCGAAGGCTGACAGGCTAAGCAGTTCATTTGTCCATATCCTGTGTTAGGATGTGATCAGAAATTACAATTTCTTAAAAATAGGAATTGTTCATGTGGTCAGTGTGCCGAGGCTGTGTCTATCACCCGCACTGAGCTGAGGCAGAAGAGCTGCGCCGTGAGAGTGTCTGATCCAGCCCCAGGGAGCACAGCAGCCAGAGCTTCCTGCTGCCACCATTTGTCCCCCCTCTGCCCTCCTCCAATTCCCCCCACCCCTCTCCCTCTGGCAATCACCATAATGTTGTCTGTATCTTTTCTCTTTTCCTTAATCCCTTCACCTTTTTCTCCTAGTAACATGTATTTTCTAAAATGCTTTGTAGGGCCATCATTTCCGACTCTTAAGTATTATGCATCTTTTTCATAATCAGTGCAAACAGTTCATGCTCACAGCTCTATCACTCGGGTCTAAGAGGTGAGCTATATGGAGCCTGGACAGCATGAAAAATACTCTGCCTTATTTCTGTATACTGAAAGTTACGAAGGAAGCACAGTCCCGTGAAATACTCTAATACTCAAGATTTGGGCAATGAAAGCATCCTAAGGTAGTTTTTTTGAAATGCAAAATTCTAAAATAAATCAAAGAATGCAAAAAGACTACTTGTTTTAACATTTTTTAAAGAGTAGAAATGTGTCAACAGACATTAAAACCATGGGAAATAGTGAACCCACTGTCTCCAAGTGAAACGCGAGTTCAGAGCTTATTTACATAGTTTGGTGACTTCCCAGCCATCAAAGGGAACTGGAGGGTTTTAAAAGTATAAATACTAACATCTATAATAACCCTCTAGTGGGTAAAAAGAACATATTTCATTCTTTTTCTTTCAACAGTAATACCTGTCAAAGAAAATTTTAGCAAACTGTGAAGTATGCTCTCTGTTTCTGGCATTTTCACTGCAAGTCATTACAGTCAGTCAATGGTTTGCATGAAATGCCCCAGTTTTATGAAATTTTTATCTCATTCTTTTAAGGTTTACATTTCACTCTCAGACACACAAGTATTTCACAAGTTAAACTAGTTTGAATTTTTCTACCAGTCACATATAAATCATCCATTCTCATTTTAAGCAAAAGTAAACATGGCAAATTTTTTCTGACTTCTAGTTTAAGGAATAAATCCGATTATAATGTAGTTACCATTGTTCCAAAATGCCCACAGCACATCATAAGGCACTTGATCAACACAAACACAACTGGACAATGTACACCAAGTTGTGTCTTCAAAATTAACACCGATAAGAGTTAAACTTCCCGGTAGAAGCTTAGTTCTAAGTGGTTATCTTCACGAAACTTCTATTTTTATAGTGGGGAAGATGCTAACATTTTATTACTTTCTTACAATATCTGATTCACAGAAGCGATTAAAGTGACTCCTACAATTCTGCATCCAGTTTGCTACCAAGTGGTAATAAGAGTAGCACATAGTTTTAAAATTCCCTGATTTATTTAGTGGTTAAAGAAAAACCTCAAAGCTGGAAACGATGCAAACTGCTTTAAATCTGAGGTTTCCTTCCATCTTCATAAAGAAAGCACATTTTAATAAACCACCCTGAGAAGCAGCCTGCCTTACCTTCCTGTGCAAGACAGAAGACGATTGCGACACACACCGGCCTTTAATGCACGGAGAAGCCCTGCCAAGTTCACACTGAAAAGCAAGTGTGAGCTGGAATTTCAAATTCAACTCTAGAGGCACCGAACAAGGTTCAGCTTTTAAAGAAATTCTCCCCGGATAACGAATCTGCACAGACAGGCAGACGCGGGAGGAAAAGTATTACCTTGATGCTGAAAGCAGAAAGTCCCCTGGCTCGGCTGGGTCAGCGAATGGTCGCAGTGGCAAAAGCCCCAGCAGGCTGCCCGCAGAAACAACGCGACAGAGGAGCAGAAGCGGGCAGGGGCCGCTCCCGAGCGGTGGGACAGGCTCAATGACAAGAGCCCGCAGATCAGATGGCTTTGAATTAG